CAATCTTAAAATTCAATGCACTATCTATGATCTTGTTGATCAATGAGCATTTCACAACAAGAGTACTCTTCTTTTGAAAATACTATGAATTACTATCTGGAATGGTCAAAATACTTACTTCTCCCAAATTATGCTTGGGAGGATATAAATGGAATCCTCGATAAGTTTGGCACTTGTACTAAGGAAGATATTCTCTTGGAAATCAAAATTAATCGGATTAAATACAGTAACATTGTTCCTTGTCTTTTCCTGCTTGATCTGATCGAACACATGGCATTTGTATATCATGATAAGGAAATAGTAATACACGGGGAAAAATAAATTTGTTTTGTATATTTTTTGGCAAAACTAAAAAAACAATGATTAGAAGACTTGCAAGACCAATTGTACGAAAGGATATTATTGAAAAGAAGCCTAAGAAAGACCAAAAATCACCCGATGCAATAGAAACATTGCGAAGCAGTTACAACGAAATCATCAGCAAGATGAAAGATATCGACCGTAAGATAGCAGACTTGCATCTCCAGAATGAAGCAAAGGACCTCATAAACAAGAAAGCACAGCTTCACATCAAATACTTCACAATGGTTTCAGAATTAAATTGTAATGAAGACAAGGAAATAACAATCCAACGATTCCAACAAATCCCAATCGTGTAACTGATTTTTCATTTTTCATTTTCATCTGATCTTTTTAATCAATGAGACGAGTCAAAAGAGCAGGAATCATAAAGCCAAAGGAAGTCTTAAGTGCAGACTCCGTTGTCGACGTTGCAGAGGAAATCGAGTACTACAAGCAGAACATGAATGACGACCTCGCACAGAAGAAGATCTGCTATTCTCGAAAAGAGAAAATGGGAAAATTTGATGACGACGAGATCGAAACACAGATCGAAAAAGATGGAATCCTGACATTTCACTTTGAGTGCAGGGGAGTCCAATACGGATTTATTGTCCCGGAATTATGCATCTTTGCAGAAGACAAAAGAAACGGGACAAAAACATATTCCACAACTGGGAACGTACACTTCTTTGTGATCACAAGCAAACAGAATGAGAAAACAGCTACTGTTTATGAGATGAATCCCGGAACAACAAGTGACTGGCATCCAATCCTGTCCTTTGTAACAGTTTCCGAACGAAACATGGCTTTCAGAAAAATGACGCTTTGTAATGGGTTTTTTGAAACAAACTTCGATACGGTTTCATTTACAAGAAGCTCATTATTCAATGTAGATGCAAATTGTCCACTTGACTTAAAGGACGAAAAGGTTGAATTGACAAAGACTATTTACTCCCAAACAATGATCAATGTCAATAGTATTTGTCAATGGATAACTGTTGAATATCCAATACAACCAATTTTAGAGAATGGGACTCAAACGACTTACGACATGGATAAGTTCTCTTTGGGTGAGACAATTTTGATAACAAGTTTTTGCAACATGGGATTATTACAAGATGGGATTGTCGTATCATCCAAAACAAGGGGAAAGCCAATTGAAGTGAAATATCCATGTACTGTAGTTTTTGAGCCAGAGAAAGCTATTTATGCATGTGATGACATCTTTGTTGAGATCAAAGGATCTAAAGTCCACTTTTCAATGAATCAGTTCAACATCATGAAAACTGAAGACCTTATTACGATTTAAGTGAATCAAATTCGTTTAGGTTAAGAATCAATTGAAATAATATCCCTCTTCTATTGTTGAAATATCATCTGCAGATCGTAACAAGTGGTCTGAAACCTGTTTTTCAATCAATTTCCGTTTTAATGAAACGTAGTTTTCAATCATCTTTGTTATGATGAGCATGAAATCGACGATATCAAAGATTTCTTTCTTCTCGTTACATCCAATACACAGTGCTAACAATTTGTGAACATAATGTGAAAATTGTATTATATCAAACGGATTCACATCCTTTCGTTTGTAGAATAATACAAGTATGTCGCACATTTCCTTTGTAGCATTAATGAACATGATTTCCGTGTGGTCAAGAACACACCGATTTCCTCCGATTTCTCCAATGTATTTCCGTTTTAGACAAAGAACTTTATCCACAATTTTGTCGACATCAGACATCATCGGGTATTCTTCTTTAGACATAAAAGAAAGATAATTGAGTTGAACAATAATAATAATAAGAAATTATCCTTTTAAACAGATTTCTAATTGCACCTGAACTGCAAAACAACAAAGAATGGAATGGAACAATCAATTGAAGTCTGTTGAAATTATACTATACATATTCCATCCGACCGATTTACTGAATTCACTAATCACACCAATGATTTCTTTCAATTTGTGTGCAAGTTCTATGTTTTCTTCCAGTTTGAACGATTTTTCACTTTTCATACGATCTTGTTCTGCAACGTCTCTTATTTCATTGTACTGTTTAAAGAGCTTACTCAGGATTTCGTCGTAATACATGTACTCCAATGCATCCGGTTTATTATCGCACCTCACAATTATTGTATCTCCTTCTTCGTAATCGTCAAGTGGTGATTTCCCATTGCTCCCTTTGTTGATGCTCATGATGCGACTGATTTTCGAGATTGTGGGATCGTTTAAGTTGCTACTTTCACTTCTTTCAACCTTGAAAATATAGTACTTTATACTTCATGAATTGTTTGCTGTTCCATTTTGGATGCGCCTATAAATATCCCGATTGGTATTTGTCCGTGAAAAGTGTCCACAAGAAGTGTTAGGTTTGTGCCGTGGGGATACTACTGAAAAATGTACTATATCGAGTATTTTGTTATTCGTTTTGTTGTTTGTTTTTTGAAAAATGAAGGGATTGATACAGGAAATTCAAGAAGTGGGTGTTGTTTGGGAACAAATCCCATTTTGTTAAGTGTATATTACCCAACAATTATTCATTTTTTTAAATTGCCCCATTTTTGAAAGTGAATACCATTTTAAATAACATTTTGAATAAATGAAATTACCAATCAAATTTGGTTTTATTAATAAGTGGTATTGGGAATTAAACCATCAATATGTCTTACAATAAATAACAAGCAAATGCCGTGGAATGTTTCGGGGAAAAAACCTAATATTACAAGAAATAAAAAAAATCCAATAACGTCTCATAAGGGAATTTGAAGGAAATTTGGGTTCAAATCCCTAAATTGTACCAGAAAAAAAATGTTAGGGAAATGATGGTATTTGCCATATCTTATCTTGAACATTTTCAATGATTCAAGTACTGTATATTTTCAATGATTCAAGTACTATTTAAATACTATTTTCAATGTTTTTAATATCATTTTTATAGTAGTTAATTATATTTTTATATATTCTAGTATTTTTGTTCTTACTACTGATTTACTATCAAAACAATATAACACAGTATACAAAATCATTTGTTTATTTCGATTTTCATGGAGGATTATATCGGGGTTGTAACGAAATTATAGAGGAAAGAGATAGTTACCTAATGATAGGAAAGAATCCCGATATCTAGAGCAAAAACAAAGCAAAATCCTTATGAGACACTGTGAGACGTGCGACGATTTACCTAATGATAGGAAAGAATCCCGATTGGATAGTGGAAGTAACAAGCAAAATCTTTGTGAGACAAAATACATTCTACATACCAACACTGAACTATATCATCCGAAATATAGTATATTCAACCATTGATCTAGATTTATTCTCGTTTTACCATTTATGTACCATACAAAAATTAAAAAGTATAGTTTTGTGTTGAACTTGTTTTTTAAAACGAATCCCATTTAATATAATATTTTGTAATATTTGAACGAATCGAATGGCCAATCAGATGAGCGACTATTTATAAATGGCAATGGGTTTCAACTGTCAATCTATCCTATAACAAATAACAAGTAAATGCCGTGGTATATAACGGGAAAATATCCTCGTATTAAGAGAAATACACACTGTCTCATAATGTCTCACAAGGGAAACCATATTAAAGATAAGAGAAAATCCCGATATTTTATAGGCATTTTAAATTTTAGGGAAAAAAGGTATTTGCCAGATGTAAACTATAACATTTTGTCGCCAATGGAATTGTTATTATTGATTTGATTGCACAATGAGGCAGATTTCGGGAAAACAGTAAAGAAATCCTTATGAGACACTGTGAGACATGGTGTGTTTTCCCTAATGTTAGGACAGTTTCCCAATTATGAGTACCTTTTAATTGTAATATACACTATGTGACAAATTGTATGTATTTAGCCATTGGGGAAAGATATAGATTATTATAATAGATCAATTAACTAATGTTTTAGCAAAATCAAATCCAGTTTCTTATCCAATAGAATCATTCAAATACTTTAGTTTCTTTACTAATAACTACTATAGTTGCATAAAGTTGAGGAATACAATCATCACAATAGAGTTATCTTTCTAAGATCAACCAATCAGATGCATTCCTTTTAGTTGCGAATATTCTACATTAACTACAAGTATAGCTTATTTACTATAAACTACTAGAATGATTCTAATCTCTTACACTTTTTCATCAAAAAATAACCAATCAAACACTACGCTCATTCAAAACAACCAATCAAACACTTGATAAAAAATTAAACTCATTCTCAAATGCTATAAGTATGATTCAATTAATTAACGTGTACTAGAATCACTCCATTTTGAAAATCATCACACTGGCGTCGATCTCGGGCATTTCGCAGTTCAAGTACTACTTATTCCGATCTCGTATCTCAATTGCCAATGAGCAGCAGAGGAGAAAGGGGAAACAACAGTGAAAGGGGAACAAGAAAAAATGTTGATGTATCACAAGTAAAGAATGATAAAGTTGGTATAAAGCAGAGGTTAAAAAGAAATGTTGTTGTGGGGTTTCTTAATTTTAACAGAATTCCCGATGCAAATTACATTACTGCTTTGATTAAAAGTATTTATTTCCCAAGAAGCATACCAGAAAACATGGCTTGGTATATAACAGACCACGACGACCACCTTGAGGCCGGTGTCAAAGTTGAAGATTTTTATGATATTGGAAACAGAACATTCAAGATAAGTCGGATCAACGTGCTGTTCATCGTGTATTGGAAGAAAATACACGGGATTCCAAAGATTAATAGTGGTACATTCAGGGGGATTGCATACAAGGTAGATTTATTTGAAGAGATCAAGGATATTGAAGAGATATTGATCAATCGGGCAATATACATGAGTAATTTTGTTTCTGGGACGGGAGCACTTGGATTTGTTGCAAACTTCTTTACTGAAGAGAGAATCCGAACTAATGTGTTAATTGACCGTGCTTCAAAAGAAAAGACGCTCAAGAAGGCTAGAGAACTTGTGCAGATGAATATTGGACCCGTTAAATGTGTTGAAATGATGGGAATTGTAGAGTCGCTGATGCCAAAGAGAGGTCCCTTTCCGGAATATGATAGAATTAGAAAAGCATCAAAGATGAGTCTAAAAAACTGCGAATTTGTAAATGTCTTCAAACAGTGGATACGTGAAAGCTACGGACAGGTAAGAGAGCGTGGTAACAATCTTATTTTAATTGGAGACAGCCAGATAGGGAAGAGTGTAATGCTGAAATACCTTAAGTTGCCAGAGCTGAGTCGGAATTTCGAAGAGGTGGTTGATATGCAGAAAGCAGACGCAAATTTCACGTATTATCGCCGTGAATCAAAATATCTACTAAGGGTGTTTGATGACCTCACACTTGGGTCGATGAAAGCAGAAGCTGTGAAAAACTTGATGGGGTGTGACTCATTTGAACTTCGTGTTCTAAGAGACACAAAGACGATATATCCGTGCCCATTGGTTCTGATCTTCAATCCCAATGCATTCAAGAATTTTGTGTACGATTTTGGGGATTTGGCATGGCTTGAAAAGAACTGCATGGTATACCCACAAGTAGATTTTGAAAAACTCAGAAACCCATCAACTTATGATGTACCATCTTATAAAGAATTATTGTACGAAAATGTCAATGGTAATGAATTGATGGACGAAGATTATCTCTTTACCAGTGCTCTTGGTTGCACTTCAGAAGAATTGGAGCAATCCATGCAAAGTAACCCGGGGTTTCCATGTTATTACAACGTTCAGAAATGTTTTTCCGAAAGAAAAAAACAGGTTGTCACTCAAGTTCCTATTCCAATTAGGCCAGTCCAACAGATGGAGGAAGTCCACCAGAGCAACGAGATGGAGGTTGAAGTGCCACCACAAGAAGACATGGGGTTCATCCAAACAGGATACTCCCAGCAATACATCTAATCGAATCCTTTTTACTTGTTTACTTTCTTTCTTTGGAAATATACTCCCGCAAAAGAACTTAAAAAATAGATAACAATGAGTATCAAAGGTGTAAACGAGAATTCCATTCTTGATGTGAACATTGGAACATACTCGACTCACCTGCAGTACGAACATATCTTGAAGGAACTGTTTTCGGAATACATCTTGATCTACAAAACACTCTGTCAAAGCATTTCAGATCAAGATTACATCGAGCAGAAGATAAAACTTGCAAAGAAGATCCGTGAGATTGTAGACACAATCAACGATTTCAGAAGAGACCCATCATGGGAGATCCAGAAGAAACTCGATGGTGGAATTTACGTGAATTGAATCTTTCTTATCTTTAAATTGTATATGGATAGGGAAAAAAGAGAAATAACATTGTCCCCTTTTGGGACCCGCGGCTTTGAAAACAATAAAGACATCGATTCGATTCTAATGGAAAAGACTCCACAACAGTTGGTATGTGCTCGACAAGGAGCAGGCGGTAATAGCATGAAATATCTCGAAGGGTTTCGCGCAATAGAGATTGCAAACGCCGTGTTTGGGTATGACGGGTGGTCCGATGAGGTAAAACAATTCATCCCACAGAATACAGGGTGTGTACTGTCAATTGTCCGTATCACTTTGAAGAATGGATGCTACCACGAAGATATTGGATTTGGTTCTTCTGCACTTAAGAACAACCCACTTGAGATAGCAGCTAAGGAATCCGTGACTGACGCACGAAAAAGAGCACTTCGATTGTTTGGCAATTTACTAGGAAATTCATTATATGATGTGAATTATACAAGAAACATCTCACCAAATAGTACAAACAAAAGAATTATCATACAACCAGTCAATTACACGGAAATCGTTTCCGAAGTTGAAAATTCAAAAAAGGTAATCGAAGAAAAGATTAATCAAAGTTTCAAGTAATAATTCTGTTAAAGAGATCATGAATTTATATATTCGTTGATCAAGTCTTCGCTGTCGTATTTTGGACATTCTTCTTCCACGTTTACATCTGCTACATTTCTATCCTTAGGTTCAGCAGTTATCTCTTCCATGTTTAAGACTTCTTTCAAAACCTCTTTAACGTCAGCGCTTTCTTTAACGACATTAGGATTACTATCAAATTTCTCCGTGTCTTTTATAATAATCGGATGATTACTATCCATTGAATTGATTACGTCCATAATTTCTGGGTCTATAATCTCCATTTTTTGACATGAAACATTTCTTGGTGTTGGAACCGCAATCTTTCTTCTGTTAGTTTCAAAAACTATACGTTTATGTGGGAAATCATCAAACGATTGATCAATACTATTCCTCTCCGAATCAGTCATTAATTTCAATTTCGACTCTAACTTGGGAATGAACAATCGATGTTGTGATACCCTTTTCACTTCTTTTGTCCCATTCTTTTTATCATTTAAGACACTCATGCATGCGTTGTACAGTGCCTCTCTATTTGAGAAATCAAAATCCTCGGAGCTACATTCGCTATTGATCCTGTACGTACCTCTCCCCTTCTTTACAATTTCCATTCCGCTGATATTAGTTAGGTGAAATGAAAGCGTACACATGAGAAATCTTGTCGAATCTCTTTCGAACATGTAGAAAACTACGTCTCTAATACTGTACTCTCTGTACTCTTTTCCAAAGAACATGGTTACTATTTCGTCAAAAACAGACATTTGCTTTTCAAGTTCTGCACGTGACCTATTTTCCCCCTCGATGCTAAAACTTGCCATTCATAAGCATAATCTCCATGGGCGATACAACTGAAATTACAGATAACTTGGCGGTATTTATAGACGGCGGAGTATACTATCAGGCATGCATCCAAATGATTCGAAAACAACGAGAAATGTTATCGTTTGTGGATCGCTTCTCATTCACAATCGTAAAGCTTTCCGAACTAAGGTCGCTGCGGTTGAAAAATGTAAAGAACCTGTTCATTTATTATCTTGGTCATACAATACGTAAAGGAGACACGTATTATATGATTTACAAGGAATTCACCATCAACGAGGAAGAGTTTGCACGCGTTGTGAATGGGTTTGATGCGGAACGGAAGGTGATCTACCTTTTTAATTTTTTACAAAAAAATAATATTAAAATAGTATTAAATAAAAATTAATATATAATAAAATAAAATTGTATTATAATAATCATTTACATTTTAACTCAAAATTAAAATTTTAAAAACAGGATTAATATAATATAATATATATTATAATAATTACATTAAAGTTTTAGTTCTGAATATTGAATGCGACAAACAATAATATACAAAGAAAAATAATATGAGAATTAAAATAACATATTTAAAAATTTAATTTTCACAGTATCTATGAACGCTATTAATTTTATAATAATTAAAGGTTGTATGATATTAAAGTTTACAACATCAAATAAATCTGAAAGAGAAAAATAAAAATCAAAAATTTAATCATAGATATGTGTAAGTCTAATTTAATGTGAAAGTAACGTTATAATTTTTATGTTATAAACTAGTAGTAAAAATAGAAATATTATTTTATCAAATATATAAGGCGTTGAATATAACCAATATTATGAAAATAATTTAACCATAAGATTATATTTTACAAATGAAAACATATCATCATCTGAAAAAACATTATTTAAATTTTATACATTTATATTATAAATACTAATAAAAAATAACCACTAGTAATGGTAACATTAAATTTTTATATAATTAAAGTAATATTCAAAAATTCATCTCAAAAATTAAAAATAAGTTGTTTATTTAATTTTTCATGTTTATTCATAGGGTTTTATTTCGAGTTAAAAAAATAATTATTCATAGTATTAAAAAATACATAAAATTGTATCAATATATTAACACTAAAAAGAAAAAAAAAATTAGCATACATCATGGTTAATAATAAAGTGTATAAAAGATTATTCCACCCGGGTTTGAACCGGGGACCCTCAGTACGTAAAACTGATGTGATAACCAACTACACCACGAAACCTTCTTAATAATAATACTTATGTTTTGTTTGAACTTGCTTTTTACTTTTTGAAAATAACCTTATATTTTATTATATTATTAAATTCTTTTTAATTTAATTAGTCAATGTATAACAAATTCGTTTTTTTATTATTGTTAACAAATATATATTTACAACTCGGAATAAATTGTATAATTTATAATATAAATATGAAAATAAAATAATACAATAAAGTATTATAAATAATGAGTTCTGTATAAAATCTGAATTTATATAACGACAACAATTAATCGTTTAAAAAAATAATTTCATGGAATGATATTTTTAGAATAAAACTTTATCCATAAATTAATGCAGATCTTTAAATTATTAATAAAGCAAAAAATTCATCTTCGAGAAATATTATAATATATATTTTTGTACATGTTTATTATAATTTTGATGTTAAATGTAAATATGATATTGATTATATATATATTTAATTAATACCTTTATTAATTCATATTTTATACAATTAAATTACTTATATATTCAGATAACTAAGTTATACGTTTTTATTAAAATTCACAAGACCATTGTTGCACATACACAATAATATGATTTAAAAAACAGAATAATTTAATTGTGCTAATCGGTTCTTACATAGACCCAATAAACATTATTATTTGTTCAAATTGTTCTTATATAATTAATAAAAATAAATATATAAATATACCTGTTGTCAATATATCAATATTAAACACGAAATATTTTAATGAGAATAGTTATGTAGTAATATATAATGTCGGTTGTTATTATTAAAAATATTTGCATAAAACGATCTGTAAATTTTATAACAAAGCCTTTATAATATTTTCATATGTTTTATCGTTTAAAATCAAAATAAAATATCCATGTATTTAATATATACTAGGTTTTATTTTTTAAGCGTGAACTATTAATAATAATAAAAAATATATCAAGTTTGTTAAAAAAATAAATATAAATAAAAAAACAAAAAAATATATTAATATATTTAATATATAGTTAGGTTATTAAAAAATATATAAGACATCTATTAATTGTCCATTGTGGTGTAGTTGGTAACATGCAAGCCTTTCACGTTTGCGCCCCGGGTTCGATTCCCGGCGATGGAATTTTTTGTTTTATTATAGTCTTGATGTTTATAAAAATGTAGTTGAATAGTGTAGTCTAATAAGTTTTTACTTTCGGTAGGTTCATATCAAGTAGGATACACCCGTTCCCATCTGAACACGGAAGTAAAGATGCTTAGAGCCTGTTTAGTACCATTATGTTCACACAGATGGGAACGTCAGGTAATCTACCTTTTTATTTTTTGTAAAATTACAAATATTTATATTTTTTATATAATAGAAGTACACATAAAAAGGACAAAAAGACGAGCTTGGCAGGGATCGAACCTGCAATCCCCAGATTCGTAGTCTGATGCGTTTCCATTGCGCCACAAGCCCAATTGAACATTACTTGTTCATTTAGTTATTATGCCAGTCGGTTTATTTTTAAGATCTTTAGTTTTTATTTGTTTTGTACTAAATGAAATAAAAAGTTATATTAATTAAACTAAAAAATTATCATCTAAAAAAATAATAAGGTATAATAAATAAGAAATATATTATTAAAATTTACAATTTGTAAATTAATAGGGTTTCTATACATTTTATAACATGTATTAATTTAAAATATTAAAAATATAAAGTTAGAAAATATTGTAACATTAAAATAATCAATATAATAGAAGTCTCCAATAGTATAGCTGGTTAGTATCTTCGCCTGTCACGTGAAAGACCGGGGTTCGAATCCCCGTTGGAGAGTTCCTTTTATTTTTTTACTTATGACAATAAAATTTAGAATAATTATATATTTTATAGATATAGTTAAATATTAATAATAAATAACTTTATTAAAAACCGGTATTAATGATTACTAAATTTTTTAAAATATTTAAGTTTTATGATATTATTAATTTGTAGAATCTTAAAGGCATAA